TTGTTCTTCAAGGGTAAGTCTTGAGGAGGAGCAAGAGCCTTTCTCCTTCTACGAGAGGTCACCAGCTTCCAGCCCTCTTCCACAGCGTTATGATGCACCTTTACACACGGTGCTGAGCCCTCTGACAACTCCGCTGCAGTGGGGGTAGGGGACTCCCAAAGCTGAACAGTCTCCGAGAACGCCCTGTCAATCTCCCGCTCATCCTCTCGGATGCTACGCAGCCTACTAACCTCCTCCCGTAACTCCTTGATCTGGTGACGCAACTGGTCAACCACAGCACACCTCACACAGGAGAGCTGACTGTCAGCCCAGGCCTCACAGAGAGGCCCCCGGCACTCCCTGCAGCCTGACACCTGCAGAGCTGCATCTGCTGTCTGAGGGTCTGTCTGGGTTGAGGCCTCAGACACAGCTGATGCAGCACCTCCAGCAGCCACTGGGGAACGTGCTCTGTGGCGTGTCATCACCTTGCCCCAGGGAAGGACACACCACTGTGCAAAATGGAGAGGTGCCTTTCTGCGCGAACCGCTGCGTCTGTTCACTGCCTCTGTTGGCTGCGCTCTGGGAGCTGCGCTCTAGGCCTGGCTCTTATATAGGCCTCTGCCTAGCAGTGACTCACAAGGGTGCTTGACCCACCCAATCAGGAGCCACCTGAAACAAAAGCCCCAACTCCCTCTGACCAGGGCAGCCCAGAGAGCTCGTCCCAGAGAGCTGGAGTCCCTCTTCAGTTTGCCACTTGCTGCCCTAACCAGCAAATTCACTGCACCTAATCCCCCTAGGCTAAGGGAATGCTAAGTTCCTACTTTGTCTCTTAAATCCAAGTGCATTACAATAATAGAGCAAATCTTCCTTTCCTTTATGATAGTCTATTCAGTCCTACGGTCTAAACTGATGTCTGGAAGCATGTGTGAAAAGCACAAGAAACACAGTCTGGTGATTTAACTGGAGTTCTTGAGTCCAGCTGACAGGAGAACTTATTCTGGCATTTGTTCATGCTAGGTGGCGGTCTGTACAGTATTAAGAATGCTCCTATGGCTTACAAGGCCCCTAGACTGTATATGCACCATTATATACACCTCAGGTACAGCTAAGAAAATGCAGACTGTTTCTCTTCTTGCTTTTTTTTTTTTTGTTTAAATGAAATGAAGAGACCATAAGCCTGATAAGCAGGAAGAACTGAAGCATGGAAAAGGCACTATGACAAGAAGAGAGCACTTCTGGTTCAGAAAGTCCTTGAGAGACAGATTCTTGGAGGCTGGAAGAGCATTTTGAAGCTTGTCCTGTTAATGCTTGTCCTGTTCTTATGTTCTTCTTCAGAAACCTGCTGTCAGTCACTGTCCCTCAGCTGGATGGCCTGGCCCAGTCTGGCTGTTCTTACATATGGAAAGCATTTCTGATAGATGATATTAAAAATAGGATGAACACCACGAGAGGCTTTGGGGGTTAGAAATAAGAGGATCCTTTCAGAACTCTCATGTGAAAAAAGCTGGTTCAACTTTGCTCTCTGCAGTTTTTTTTTTTTTTTTTCCCAAGCACTTGAGCTCAGGCCACCATAGCTAAGCATCCGAGATGCTGGCTTCAACAGGCTGAGCACTGAAAGCTCATAAGCTGCCTGCCTGCCAGTAGCACAACCATTTTTGAACAGAACATCAGTCATCCAGGGTCAGAACTGTACTTAACTCTGTGAGAGCTGGAAACTTGGAATGCAGACTGGAGGCTATACGGAGCCCCTAACAGGTGCTTAGCCCAGCAAGCACCTCTGCAAACATCTCTAATACCAAGAAACAGTCAAAGCAGTTATGCTAGAGTGCACAAATGCTTCCTTGGGCCCTCCTGCTACCTATCAGGTCAGTCTCATCCCAGACACCTGAAACTGGTCAGCCCCCTCCTCCCCACCCCACAAAAAGAAAGAGAGCAGCAGATGATTGGAAGATAGGATGCACAGCCAACCCTTGAAATGGGCAGGAAGAGAGGCATGATTTGGGATGGAGCGGGGGGGATAACAGAGCTCACTGAGTTTGTAGCAGGGTACAACTGAGTATCTTGTATGAAAGAGAATGCATGAGTGGGAGGGGGGTGGAAGGCTCTCGGACAGACCCTGTGGGGATGGAAAGCGTCATGCAGATCCCTCATGAAAAAGAAGGGATGGGCAGGAGGAACCTCTAGTATGTGTTGTGGGTGACTCTTGTACTGGTACTTAGGAAATCCCAGCTATTTCTCAGTAAAATTGTAGGATTTAACTACACTGCATCACGTGCGGACAAAGCAAAAGGCTGTTCCCTGCCTTAAAATTGGCTGCAATCCATCTGTAAGACCACAGGCAGCTGGTGCATACAGAGAAAGCTGGGTAAACAATCAGTCATGGCAGGGGGTATCTCTGTGCACCAAGTGCCAGCACGCATAATTTTTTGAGAACTTTTTAGTAGGTACTGTGATTATGGAAGAGGTTTAGGGAAGGCTCTGAGATAAAGACAGCTTTCAACTGTCAGCCAAATGCTGCACTCTCAAGAGGTTCAGAAAACAGGTTTCAAAATAAGCAACTTGGGAGTTTCTATCAGGGTGCCTCTGATCCCCTTCCCCAGTAGGAGGCAGCAAACAGACAAACATGAGATCAGCACTCAAAACATAGGCAAGCCCCTAAAGATCCTAAATATTACACAGTCACCAAGGTTAGAGCCATCTCTGTGAGTAATCCCAGCTGACTTCAGTTGAGAGGTATTTGCTCTTAAAAGTGGGCTGATTTCTCCACAATACTTTTGAATTTTCTCTTTACCCAGTTCTCTGGAGAACATTACAGTACCACGGAGACAGAAATACTGGAGAGGTACAGGAGAGGCAACTGCCAGGGCCTGCTGGCCCAGGTTTGCCCTGCTGTCCCAAGGCCTTCGCAGCAGAGCTGCTGCCCAGCCGGGACCTCTGTGGGGGCTGCTCCATCCCCAGGGCTCGCAAGTGCACCAGGCGCAGGGACCCTACAACGGTACAACTCAATACTCTTTGTAATGATTGATCCCTCTGCAACAGCCACTTCCACAGTCCTCTCCCTGAGATCATCTTTTGCAACTCAACCATAGCTCTACTGAAATTCCTGGGTTACAGTGATAATTCAGTCATGCTAGGGAATCCCACAGGCAAACCAATGAAGGTCACCCGGTCTCACAGAGCCATAAATATGCAGATGCACATGGTAGCAGCCCTCATTTATCCCATGCTTTTTACCTGGAGAGAGCATCTTAGAGTAGGCCATCAAAAATATGTTATGGAAACACAGCTTATGAAACATAGTGGGAAACAGGTCAAATTATCGTTAGGTTAACTGGCTGAAATACGGCATCTTTGAGTTTCTTTTGATTCCCAACATATGCTCAAAGGTTGGATGTTATGCTGATATTGCTTTCTTCTTCGGTAACGGCTTTATTAGCAGTTACAGGGAAATAGATGATTGATCCCAGGGTGCCTCATGTATGGCTTTGGGCGAGCAGAGGCAGGGAAGGCCCTGCTCTCCAGGGAAGGCCATGTCTGCGCATACAGTCTGAGAAGGAAACATCTCTGCTTGTTCCGGGGCCACCAGGTTCAACATGGTTACTGTAAACTAAGTTGACGGATTAGCTCAAATCATGTCTCCCTAAGTGCCCAATTAAGACATTTCAAAAGGGACTCGGAGCACTTTCTGTTCTGAAGGCATTTCAGTGGGCCTGGTTAGCAGAAAGGGCTGACTGCTGGCCCTCTGCAACACGGTGGGAAGCTTTTCTTTTCTCTAGGCGGACTAGGACAATCACACCATTACAGGGGTACAAATGTTACCACGTAACTTAGCCACTGCTTTATCGCGGTCATACGCTATCCTGCATCTGAAAATAACTGATAAAACCCAGGTAGGTGTTACCACCTATTGTTCTCCTTTTTGATGGGAACACTTTGTGCATATTTAGAGCCCTGCTGCAGGTTTGTTTCTCCGAGACAGAGGAATTGCTACCGCATGTTATGAAGAGCAAGGGGAAACTAAATATGATTTTAAAAAAAATTATGAGGCCACGCATGTCTTGTGCAAATAGTATTCTTTCAGGAGATGATCCGTAAGGTTAAGTCATATTTGTTGCTTGTTTTTTATACACATTTGCAGATATCAAATTCAAGTACTCAGAGGTATATCTAAAAGTGTATGGCTCTACAGGATCAAGCCCCAGAAGCCCTTGAGCACTTGTATATCACCAGCCTCTGCAAAGATCTAACTGCACGGGCTAGCTGCTCTGAGCACTGTCATCCTCTCTTTCCAAATGTGTATGTGAGAAAGGCTACTACTTTTTTCCCCAACTGCCCTCCTCTGAAGAGGAGTCTCCCAAGGGTATCATGAGCAGTGAGGCTCACTCAGGGAGCAAGCACTGCAGATAAACATATCTAGGAAACATTTTAAATGTATGGAGGCCTTCCCAGCTTCTTTAGTAATCTCTGAAATAAAATTTAGAGCGCGCACTAACTTTAACTAGGCCTGATCAAAAACTCATTTGGGGACAGTCACTAGCACAATATATTTCTAGCCGTCTCTGTTCTGCTCACCTCAGATGGGCAAAAATAAAACCTGAGAGAAAACTGTCACTGAAATATTTTTCCACCAGAAAAAAAAGAAAAACTAGAAAAATAATTTAGAAAAAAACAGTATTCTCCAGTAGCTATTACAAAACATGCACAAGTGGTTAAAAAATGGTAAGTGGTAGACATAGATTAATTTTTAAATCTGTAAATAATTTTTCAAAAAATGATTCAATTTGATTCTGGCCATTTCAGTAAAATGAACACATGCAAAAGAAACACAGATATTTTCCACCAGCTCTTGGGAGCACAACTTCTTTGTACTATCATTTCTGTAGCAGTATCACTGAAGAATGCGTATCAAAACAGAGGAGTAACTTCACATCATGTTATTTTCGTCAACATCTACAAGTGTCATGATGCAACAGCACAGGCTTCATCACAGGTAAATGAAACAAACTGCTGCTTTCAGATTTCCTCTGAAAGATAGATGGCTGCATTCCCCCAAGATGTGACATCCTCTAGTAAGTGACTGTTTTCTTGACTTTAGGTGAATAGGTAGAGGGTTAAAAAAAAAGATTTTAACATTTAAAAACACTCCAGCTTGAAAAGAGTTTGTTAGTATTATAGATATTCTCCATCCTGAGGTACAATTTAAGAGAAAGGATACACTTTTTGTTCAAACTAGTGAAGATACTGTTTTTGCATTAGCTTTGTTATTAAATCTTTCTGGATGCCCTGGCACCGCAGGAGTTCTTTGGTTTACATTTGTTAAAGTCCTTTAGATAAATTTTTTCGATATCTGGAACTCAGAGGTTAATTATCTCCTTCTTTCTGTTTATGCTCAAGAATCTGTTTTTCCAACTAGTACTTATTGAAAACCTCTTCTCTCTTCCAACAAATATATATATGAGATAAATTCCCCTTTTCTGATTAAAATCTTCAAAATCAATTGCAGTAAAAATGGATGATTTTAAGCAAGGCACATCCTAGGATGCTGACAAACATTATTTGACCATTTTTCTGTATATAGTCTATGCTTATAGTCATGGCAAATCATTCTGTCTTCTTACACTATAGACTAAAAATATTTTTTATTTTCATTTATTAAAAAAGAGTGGTCTGTATCAGCTATTCTGTTTGGAACCCTGTGGAAAAAAAAAGAAATGATAAACTGGCAAGGTCATTACTGTTCTTTACACCCTGCTTTTCAGATGAGGCTACTAAAGCAGGATAGCTGACCAGCACAACAGAAATTACGTCACTGAGACCAAATGGCAAAAAAACCCTTTAACAGTGAGCCTACCTGCTCCTGGCTTCCTCAGGCCCAGGTACTTTAAATGCTCAGAGTGCTGGAAATGATAAGTAGCCTTCTTTTGGTGACAGTAGAGCTATCTATGCCAGGGATAACCTGCAGCATGCTCTGACTCTCCATTACTTGCTTGCATTTCCATTTCATTAATTTGAAAGTTAATTGTAATAGAACCAGACCTCAAAACAAATTCTGTATTAACACAATGGACATTATACGGCTCTCCTCAGTATACTTTTCTATCCATTATGTTGTTCCTATCCAAAGAAAGTTTAAAGTAAAATTTCAGATCCTTTTAGAACCTACATAAGCAACACTTCCTCCGTTTGCTACTCTCACAATTCTGTCCAAACAGACTGCAACAACTTTTCCTGCAAAAAAACTCATCCTGCTCACTGTCCTCACGACCATGGAAATTTTCTTCCCCCTCCCTCCCTATCTAGCTAATACAATGTTTTCTCCACTATTTCACTTCAGGTAGAAAGGTTACTACCGTTCTTTCTTCTGGGGAAAATTGAAACACCTCCCTCAACAAGGCATAGCAACGCCGAAGTTTGAGACATCACATCATGTGGATTCTAACTTAGCTGTGTAAGTAACAGGCAGTACTACTTTAAGAGTTTCCGCCTAGAAGAAAATATCAGCTCTAATAATAACAATGCATCATGAATAAATCAAAGAAAATTTTTTATGAAGCCCATAAATTATTAGTCTTTCTTTCTCTTACAAGTTACCATTCATTGAAAAAAAGAATAAAAAAACCTTACTGGTCTGTATGCCATTGGACTGGATAGGCTGGTCTGCACCAGGTAAGGATCTGCTCCTCCATTTTTCATTTCAGTACCAGCTTATACATACTTGCAGCACATTTCCAGTAGCAAAGCTTGGAAATACTTGTCAGAGACGGTGAACTGATCCAGAAACAGCTCAGCCTCTAACAAAGGATCAGCCTTTAGGAGAGCCTTACTGAACAACTCAGAACTATAACTTCAGCTAATAAGAAACACAATGGTGGAGATTAAAAAATATTTTCAGCTTCAGCAGCTCTTTCACAGCTCCTTATTGCTCTCTAGCAAAAAAGAGATTTGGCTTAGAATTTTTTACTTTGACCTCACCTCAAAAATTAGTGTACAGTTGTTAACCTATTTTTATGCACTTAGGCCTTTTTTTTTTTTTTTTTTTTAAAAAAATTTTTTTTTTTTTTTTTTTTTGCGGGGGCATAGTAAACAGCCAGGCATTTACGACCTTGTTTCTCCTGAAGGAGAAGGAACTTAAATGCCCACATCCAGACAGGAACAACACGGAAAAGAAAGAACACTAAGGTCTTTAAGGCCTTTTCATGAAATGAAAGTTAAAAAGTTTTTAAAATATGAAGTGAAAGTAAAGGACGTCCCTTAATCCTCTGCTATCTGTCTGCAGGTGTCAGGCACCCAGCCTCTCTGCTAAAACATGATCCGTACACCCTGAGTTTAAGAGCCCAACTGAAAAACGTAAAGAGCGTGGCATGTTAAAAAACATTTTTAATTTAGAAAGATCTCTTCTGCAGTATCTGTTCTCCATCAGCATGCAGATGTGCTCACGTCAGTACAAAGGCAGCGCGTGGAGGAAACAAGACTAGCGAAAGCCATTTGTACTTAAACAAAAATCTTTCACATCTGGAGTTCAAAAATTATCCTAGCCTGGCCTCCACATTAAACCAGTAGTAAAACTCCCACCTGCTTTCACCAAAACCATATTAGGGTATTAGTGCCTGAATTTGGAAATGCCAGCAAAGAACACTAATGTAACATGACAAGAAGTTGGTTAGGTTTTAAGTATCTTGGACTGCCCAGATAGTGAATGCTGCATCTTATTATGGCAAAAAACTATTACAAATTAAAGCAAATATTAAAAATACTTCTTTTAGACGAGTCGAAAAGACTCTCCTAAAGACTATTTTCCAGGAAGCTTAGATACCAGAAATAACTGTATTACCTTGGCAGCGTTACTAAGGTGGTATTATGGTGTCAAATTATGTAACTGAGTACATGATGAATTACTTTGTTCCAGCTCAGAGGAAAGCATTGCTTCCCAAGAAAGAGGCAAGAAACATCAGCTGACTGCTGCCGCAAAAAGTATGTAAACTGAATGAAGCTCTTCCATTTGTCTCAGTATATGTTGTCTTCACCTTGGTAAGGCTAACTTTTTTTTTTTTTGGCTGGTTATCTTCATCCCGTGCTTAGCCATCATTTGAACTAAAAAATAAAAGATTTTATAAAAAACCAGTAACTTTTCAACAGGGCGCACAGTTTTATATTACCTCTCTGGTGACTAGTAGACTTCATTGACTTTGTTTCTCAGCCTCATTGCTGAAACTACGTTTTCTGGTAACAGTCACTCTGCTGTACATTACAGCTCGTACAGGAGAAGCCTTTCAGCCCGCCCAAGGGATCAAATGATTCAGGGCTGCACTCTGCTAACCTTATGCTGAGTAATATCTTGTAGTTGGACTAGTCAGTCTCACAGAAACACGCTCTTTGTGGTTCAAGAGAGGAGACATCTGGAGTTAGACTAAATATTTGAAAACCCTATTAAGCTGCCTCGCAAAGGATTTTATTTACACGGCTAACAGCCTGTTAACACCAGGGACTACAAATTATTCAGCTAAACTAGCCAGGCAAGACTACAGAAAGCACTTTCAAAGGCAGTCACAGATGTGCCAAATTAGAAGAGAGTTTAAACTGACCAAGAAGAGTCTCAGCGAGAGCCTGACCCTTCTGCACTTACCCATTCTGGCACTTTCCCCTGTAGGAGGTGGCCTACACTGTACGCTTTCACTGTATTCACTGGTATTCTGGTTTTTACATGGTTTCTGCCTTCCGAGCATAGGACTAAATTGCTTTTTGAAAAACAAGTAATTAACAGTGCAGTTCTGGTATGAGAAAAATCTTCTTGATAAAAATTGGCCAAGCGTTCAGGTAATGCAAACGCACAAACAGAAAAAGTAATGTAATCCTACAAATAACAGCAGCAACATTTAGTCAGGCCCTTTATTTGCAAATCTGGTTGTTACTGCAGTCTGTTACTCATAGGTACTGACAACAGCCATGGCAGCTAACAGGCTCTTTTGCCTTGGAGAGTTCACTCTGTTATACTGCATCGACTCTAGAGAAAGGGTGTGATGGAGAGGATTTGACACAGAAGTGGCCACTTCTATGACAATGCTACAAATGTTTGAAACAGACTATTTAAAATCAAAAAGAAAAGAGACATTCATGAAAATCCTCCACGTTTGCAATAAGTCAGTTGAGAGGGCGACAGGAAGAAGTGCCACCCTCTGATGCAGCTAAGGTCTACGTTAACAAGCTCAGGGTGAACCACAAGCCCCAAAAATGTACGCTTACTAAGATTCAAACCCCACTTTTAGAGATAGGTCTTACCCAAGCACAACACAAACAACTCCGACGCTTAGGGAGTGTGAAATCTGAGCCGCAAGGCTGAATTTTGCAAAATGAATCCTATTTTTTTATGGGTTTCTCCAAAATCCCTAGGTCCAAACATTCTAAAAGACTGATGTATTTGAAAGCTTAATTCATATTTTATGTTTTCAGAAGCCTCTTTGTAATTGTCTTGTTTATGCTTTTGAGTCCCCATCAGTATAAATCTACTAACAAACGATGCGTTTAAATCCAGCAGCTGTTGTGCTTGGGTCTTCATTGTCAAGACACCCGTCTTCCAGCAAATATGTTTGTTTTTGCTTATCTGTTGTGGGTGTTTTACACCCACATCTCCTCTCTGCTGGCACTTAGGATTTTGTCTATTTCCTGGATGCGTTAGGATTTAATTATGTGCCGAGTAAAAAAAATTTCAATGTGTCTCCTTACAGGCTGCTTTTAAAAAGAAGGCAACATGACAACTACAGACGCTGATAACTTTTATAACTTCTCAGCCATTGATCCCAATGAAATTGGAAGTGACAGTTTTCACATATTTACAAGAATCTTTCTGCCCTGTATGTATTCATTTGTTTTTATCTTTGGGCTAGTAGGAAATGCTTTGGTCTTTATCATACTAGTTTTCTATGAGAAACTGAAGACGCTGACAGACGTGTTTTTGCTGAACTTGTCTGTAGCTGACTGGATCTTTCTTTGGACACTGCCATTCTGGGCATATTCCGCCACTCAGGAGTGGGTTTTTGGCACTGTGGCATGTCGTGCTATACGGGGCTTGTATACTCTGAATTTGTACACATCAATGTTAACTCTAACCTCTATAACCTTCGATCGGCTTATTGCTATTACTTTTGCCACCAAAGCACACACGTGCCAAACCAAACGAATGACATGGGGCAAATTAATCTGCATCTTGATCTGGGTGATTTCACTAGCCTTTGCCACACCACAGTTTATTTTTAGTGAGGCATTTAGTATTGATAAGGCAATATGTCAGGAAAACTACCCAAACCATCGCACAGAACTGGTTCTTGAAGTAATCCAAGTGACCCTTGGCTATTTCATCCCCATGCTAACCATGACCACCTGCTACTCACTAATCATTAAAACATTACTGCATGCCAGGAGTTTTCAGAAGCACAAATCTCTGAAAAAAATATTTTCTGTAGTTGGCACATTTATTCTTACCCAGTCACCCTATACTTTCTTGAGACTGATAAAGATCATAGATTGGAGCTTTAACTTGAACCGCAACTTTGAATATGCAATCGTCGTGACAGAAGCTTTTGCTTATTTCCATGGCTGCCTCAACCCTGTTCTGTATTTCTTCATTGGGGTGAAATTCAGGAAGAATTTCCAGAAAATTATTAAAAAGTCAAGATGCATCAAATGGAAAGTTACTGCTAGACAAGGGCAAACCACTGAAGATGAAGGCTCTAAAACTTTTACTGCCTCAAATAATGCAGATGCAACAAGCATGTATCCGCTATAAAACTGCCTAGAGAATATGGCAACTATCTGCAGCTTCTTCTTTTTTTTTTTGTTAATACTGAGATAGCTAGCACTCATGAAAGGGGACAGAGAGTCCCATTAGCAAAGATGTGAGATCTGCTTCAAGGCAATGTATCTTAATCATAATACTTCAGTGATTCCTACTTTTTCTAGGATCCAGAGCTGATCCTAAAACAAAGCTGGTAACTGAGTTAACTATGCAGAAGTATTTCAACAGGTATAGACAACAATGACATAAAACTCCTTTCTTCATGAAATAAAGCTGACTTGGACCTCATGACTCCAGAGAAGCTGGAGGCACTTCCAGTCAAACCTCTGGCCTGCTGCTTTTCCATGAGGGGCGTTTGTTAACAAAAGCATTTATGAGTTTTGTTTCAAAGACATTACAGATGTTAGTTCAGCTCATTCATTTGATGAGAATTCTTGGATTAAAAATGTACAAATTTCAATCTGGGTTTCATGTTTGTTTGTTTTTTCCTTCTGTATTTTTCCATGCTGGGTAGAAGGTCTCCACACTCCTCCTACTTCTTTAGTGGTGGTGTAAAATTCCGTAATAAAACGGCATATTCATCTGCCTTCCCCCATCAAACATCAGGTCCATGGACTCCATCTCCCATACACACCTGTATATCTCACCTCGGAAAACAGAGCCCTTGTTGCCAGATGACTAGACTTTATTTCAGCGCAAGAGATAATACCACACCTGGGTTCTCCACATTCAGCAGTATTTCCTGAAATTTGAACTCTCTCCCTCTACCTCCCACACAGTCTTTGCAGCATAAAAGAATTCTAGACTTTTTTCCTGGCACCCCCTTGGCACATGGGTTCCCAGTGCCACAAAGTCATGGATCCTTGCACTGCTCTCCTTTCCTGCATCTGCCACCGCTTTCCAGCTCTGGCCTTTCCACTTGCCGGTGGAAGGCCAAAAGGTGGGCAGGGAGCAGTGCAGGGTGAGGCAAAAAGCGTGCATAAGTTATTGCAGAGAGAAACAGAGCACAGGTAGAGACTGGAATGGGGAAAGGAAAGGAAGAGGGAGGTTGGAGATGGGCAGAGGGAGGGCTTTATGTGGCTGCAGGTTGTCTATGATTAAGTTAGCTTGGGTCCAGCCCACAGGCTGGAAGTCCTTTGCATTGCAGCTTTGAAATACCAATTTTGACCTGTTCAAATCATTTTAGCAGTAACTGTTGTCACTCTGTATGTTCCTTTTCTCCCTACTAACACTCAGGCCTTCCGATCAGATCTCTCCAGCTCAGTGGCACCTGACCCTTATTGCCACCATCATGCCCATGTCACTTTTTTCCCTTGGAAAACAGCTGCTTTTTCAGTCCTCCC